GCCCCCCCCCCCCCCCCCCCCCCCCCACACACACACACACATATTTTGGGAGGGAAAAAAAGAACAGTGTTGTTTCGATCGGCCCAACTTTCGGCACCCCTTTTGGACATCTTACCTGTTTTTCTTCCCATTGCGGCACCAATTCTGATTAATTCCTTTCCTCCAGACGCATATTTTTCGACGTTTTTTTTTTCTGTTCCTTAATCAACTTCGTTACTTTTTTTTTTGAAAAAAAATAAAATAATTAATTTTTTTTTTTAGCATCTCATCAACATTAGTAACAGGGAAAGAGGCAATTTCGGTAGTCTGGATCTAGCTATTACTAAATCAACACAAAATAAAAGACCTTATATCACTTGTGAAAAGTAGTTCTATCACAATCACTAAAGAACTGGGCTACTTGCCTGTCAAAACTACTCGCGACACCCAGTCTTCATCCCACCCCACAAAAAATCACGATCAAGTAGTTAAAATCACCTACAATCACAATATTTTGCGAATTAGCGCCCCTCAACTGATCATTGAGCGCCCCCCCCCCCCCCCACTTCTTCTTCACCTTCACGCCTTTCCCCTATTTCAAGACTTATAGATACGCCACTGTCTGTCTGTCTGTCTGTTTGCTCGCTCCGCTCGCAAACTTAACACTCACCTCACTCACTTATTAGGGGCCCCCCAATATTAGTGAGCGCCACAAACTCCGTGACGCCACTGTACACAATCACCACACTAATAAAACACTATTACAATACAGTATATAGGAAACAAATGTAAATACAATACACTAATGATGGGATACGGTATTGTCAAAATATTAATAGTTTGAATTATGTTTTACCTTTTACAAATGACTTGGAGTACCCGAGCACTTCTTCGACAGAATCCCCTATTACTGTTAAGAAGTAAATAATAGTAGGCCTATAGTGTTATGGATGATAATGAAAGGTTATGTGATAAGCCTATACAATTATTAAGACAATGTGAAATAAAATATGTAGAAAGTGGAACAAGCTATTTTCATATTAATTCCCTTTCCAGACATACAATACTCTATTATTATTTGTATGTTAGACAGAAGTGGTTATTGGAAGCTTACCAATAGTTAATTCCACTCTGTCCTTGTGTAGATGTTTAAAACGCATTAAGACGTCGCCAAACATTTTAGCTGTCTTCAAATGGATCTTTGTTTTTTCCTTGTATTCATCCAGCAGATTTATTAAATCGTCAGTGGTCTTCGCTTGATTTTTTAAAGATTCTTCAGATTTTGCTTCGGCTCTTTTCATCAATTCATCTACAACAACTGATGCCCCAATATTTGTTGCTCCTCCTGCTAAACCGAAAGCAGATCCAGCTAATGCAATAGCTCCTTCAAATAAAAGGCCACCAGGGATTACTGCTGCTACCACCGTTACTCCTACAGCAACTGCAGCTCCTCCTGCGATGGACACTGAAGAACCGACTACTTTGGCAATGTTAGTATTTCTTCTGTCTTTGTCCATCTCACCTGCAATATCTCTCAATCTCTGTATTGTATCTATTCTTGCTTTTACCCATTTGTTGTTAACTTCTTCCAGACTATCCTTATATGTTGCATCCTTCAAAAGCTCCCTTATGTACCTTCCTGCAATTCCTTCTTTCTCAGACTCGTTCACTTCTCGGATGATTAACATTTTAATAATGGGCAGAAATGGAATGTGTTCTTTGAATTTACCAAAACACATCCTATAATTTAAAAATGTTACAAAACATGTGATATAAGACACCAACGTTTACAATTTTTTGTTAAAAATTTGAAGACTAATTTGGTTGCAAGTTTATACAGTACTAACATAATAATAATAATAATAATAATAATAATAATAATAATAATAATATAAATAATAATAATAATGGTAATAATAAATAATAATTATAATAATAATAATAATAAATATAATAATAATAATAATAATAATAATAATAATAAATTAAATTTCACAGTTGCAAAAGGTTGTGGCTCATGTCCGTTAGCGATCGGTCTGGGTTCTAATCCACCAAAAAATAACATTTCGTCTACTACAACAAAGGAAAAATGATGAATTATATTCCATTTCATTACATTGGAATCTTATATAGATGAATCGATAGAAGTTTTCTTACTTGCAAGTTGATTTGTTGTCGTCACTAATCACAAAGTCAACCAAGGTTACTGTGGACATTGTAACTGTATAGGCTTTTGTAGGAATCGCATCAGGATCCTTTAACCAGGCTCTGACTTTCTTCACCTCGTCTTCATTGCCACCACCTGCTGCAACAAGTTCAAGGATTAACTCTGATATCTTGGGCTTCCAGAGGTTGATCCCGGTTTTAATTGATCTACTTTCTTCCAAAACTACCTCTTGTTCTTGCATGGTTCGTATAGGTTATACACTTGCCTGTCTTGTCAAATCGACAACTGGGGCACAGTAAAATACAGAATTTTTCCAATAATAGGCATACATGATTTATTTAACTACCACTTATTATCGAAAAGCTTTTTATCTCAACCAGATTCGTCATTCCATTAATACAATAAACAATCAATCAACACATTAAAACAGTGAACAAAAGTTTCCATCTAAGCCTACATAATAACGATATTGAAACACAGCCAAAGGTGGCACCAGTGGGGGGTGGGATGGCGGCAAGACCACCCCCTCCCCCACGTCGGGGAGAACCCCCCGGTCGGTGAGAAAAAGCACAATTTGTCGGGGAAAAAATTATGTATTTTCTACATATTAGTAGAATCTAAAATCGATTAAATAAGCCTTTGAAACCCCTAAATTGTCAAAATTTCCGGGTGATTCCCTGAACCAATTTCGAAACCTTTTAATCGAAGCTCGACCACGCCCATTTTGCTTTCGTCGGGGAAATCTGACTCCTCGTCCGGGAAATATGACTCCTCGTCGGGGGAATCGGCCCCCACCCCTCCCCCACCCGTCGGACAAATACTGGAGCCACCCCGAAACACAGCACCAAATGTAAGAGACATGGAAATATATATAAAACACAGAAATGACAGAAAATAATAAAAGTAAAGCGATTTTTGTTTTGTTTTGTACGAGTGCATTTTCTGGCAAACACGTTCTCAAGTTGTGTCCAAACCTTTTCAAACTGACTGGAAAAATAAAATCCATTTTAGAATGAATGTTAGGCCTATCATTTATTTTTAAACGTTCAATGACTTAAATTTAATACTATTACTTCAAACGGTCAGCACAGTGGAAAGTTTTATGCCTCTGCTTTTTGTGTTAGAAGATAGGGCCAGGTGGCAGCCAGGATTTTTAGAAAGAGATTTACGGTGGTTTACAGCTCCAGAGGCGAAATCCCTGGGGCACATGTAGGATTTTGCAGTAAAGGTGCGAGCGGAGCCGAAAAAAGAAAACTGCAGGGCGTTGGGGCTGTCTAAAGCACCCCAAGTTTCCAGGAGCCTCAACAGTCACGAAACAATTTTACTTTTTTTGTAAAAAAAAAAAAGGTTTTCCAGTAGAATTTTATGTTTTTCTCGACGTCAAAAATGAACAGACCGTACCCTTATCGGAAAATTTATCGTTACTTTTCAGGAAATATTTCGTCGTTAAAATCGTTAGGAAAATAATTTTACCCCCGACGTACTCTACTTTGTTTTCCCCAGCGATAAGAGATTAGAGGGTTAGCTTTGTGATAATCGTTGGAGATTGTTATGCTGTTCTTCGAAAAAGTACTCACGAATTAGAAGGTTATTCAAATTATAGGGGCACTGTATTCTTTTTACGGTTTTCAACACTTTATAAATACTGTACATCAGATCTACACACTAATATACTTCAACATATAACATTTTGTCATGGGTGAACCTAGACGACAAAACACCTTCCCACAAAGCACGTCATGTGAATACGTGTTTCTCTCATTTAAGTCAACGTACTTTACCGTTCATGGTCTCAGGGTACAATGCACTATAAAACGCTTTTAAAAATTATGAATATAGGTCTATATACAATTTATTTAAAGTTGTTTCATTTAATTTATTTCGTCCAAAAACATTACAATTGACAAACACAAGATAACAGAGAACGAAAACACAACACTCAGTTAGCCGGACAGGATTGCCAAAAAGTGATCTGAATCACTGTCTAGTGGTTCTCCGATGCCAATGAGAACATAAATAAAATTAGCATAAAATATTCAAGAAAAATAGACCAATCAATAAAATTTAAATTTGAAAATATATATGTACAAAATCATCAGTGAAATCGGTCAAGTTTTTATGCACTGTTGCAGATAATTATACTCTAGCACTGCTTGGCTAAGCCAAAATTAGTCCTGGCCGGACCAACATTATTATATTTGGAGACCAAAATCGGCCCCCGGGAAAATTTTAGTCCCCCGGACAATTATTGGCAGTGACCTGACCAATTTTAGTTACAGACATATTTAATTGTAAATCGTGGCCTACACGCATTTAATAATAAATCTTTGTACAGTATTTGTATTGCATTTATTGATACACAATGTCTCTATGAAATCGACTTTTAGGACCTAAAAATCCCGAAAAGACTCTAGTCGTAGTGTAATGTTCAACAGGATCCTGTTGAAACCACAAATGTGAAAACGCCCAGAAATGTAATAACCTTAAATGTAAAAGCAGCGCCCAGAAATGTAATAATAATCATCGTCCACAAATGTAACAACAAATGTAATAATTTTCTTTTAATTTCCAATGTGAGGCTGGTTGGCGCATGCGGTACTTGGTTGTAAGTGGGTACCGAGTTGATTAGCCTAGCGGTTAAGACAGGGGCACCCGTAAACTTCAGCTATAATATCGGCGCTGGTTCGAACGGCTCTCTGGCCACAGTGGTGGAACAAGTCTTCTCCCACTAGGGGTTTTTTCAGCATACGAGTTGCAAGAGAATGCCGAGTTGCTAACTCGGCAAACTCGGCAAAAACTCGTAGGACGATTCGGAAAGCTCGGAGAGGACTCTTACCTACTCGTAGCAGCTCTGAACTCGTGGCGCTAATTTTGAACATGTTCAAAATTATCGCCACGAGTAGATAACTCGTAGTAAACTCGAAGAACTCGTAGGTANNTACCTAGCTCGTACACTACTCTGGATACTCGTCGGCGGTTTTGTCATCTACGAGTTTGATGCGAGCACCCAAAAACGAGTACGAGTAAGTACGAGCGCACCGAGTTGGCTCGTACCTAACTCGTATCTAATTCGGTACAAACTTGTTAAGCTCGTAATAATCTCGTAATTAACTCGGTGCTCTACTCGGCATAATTCGTACATAACTCGTAACCAACTCCATAAAGTCGTACCTCACTCGTAGCTAACACGTAATAAGCTCGTATAGGTCCTTTCCAAAGATCACGAGTTTTAACTCGTAGAAATCGTACGACTCTTAGTTGAAATAAACCTAGGTGGGAGAGGGGCTTTTTATCCTGTTTAATGTATATGCCACGTAGGATAGTGATCAAGTTTGCTGATTGGTATATCCAATCCAAACTTTTAATTATCGCGGTAACTATCGTAAATTACCTAATTAGTGAAATATTAATTATGCAAATAGGCTCCGTCTTACCATCTTGCATTTTACCAAGTTTAATACCAATCAGAATTACCAAACTTTAGTTATCGTGGTTACAATGAAATGACCAACAGCGACAACATGAAGAACATAGGCAAAACAATAGCTTCGCTCATTTGGGGAGGCTAATAAGCGTGTCGTTTATTTAATTTATATATTTATTTATTTATTTATTTTCTCCCACCTAAAATGAAAGCAACACTATTCTCAATACTATTACTGTATACCCAGTGGTGCCGCCAGAGTCGACGGTATCAGGTCTGATGTTCCCGTCTGGGAAGAGTGGAGCAATTGGAATGGCCAATTTTCCGGACGGGAGAAAGTTGCCGGGGTCAGGGAATCAAGAACCCTACAATATATAT